TATCAATTTTTCGGGTATTATTTTTTCCGCTTTTATTTCGTATTCTCACTAATCTGGCTATAGAGAAATTACTTGTTACTCATTTATTTCCCAACATTCTCCCAGGATGATATATCAGTTTGGGAGTTGTGAACAACTTTTTTTCATATGTTTGAGTAAAGAGATTAATATTTACCATGCATGTGGCGGCATCTTCACCTCATGGTTAAAATAGATTCCCTTTTATTAGGACCAGTTGACACCCACAAGTTCATCTTTAGATTTCATTGGTTTCTTCTGGAATCAGATTTCAAGGAATTCAAACTCAGGTTTTTCCTTTGGGTGCATTTAGTTTCCCACCCACGTTTTAGACACACCATCAGTTAGTTCTGTGCAGAACACCTCCATCGAGGTAAGATTTGCCAACAGTTCTGGGGGATGTAATAAGATTACCCAACTGGACCCTAACAACTTTCCTGACCCAAAAGTAGTAAAATATATATAACCTTAGCCCAAGCCTGTAAAATGACAACGGAGAATTGGGCAGCCATGCACCGGGCGCCAACTTGGAGGGAAAGAAACCGGCGGAGCCATGGTCAACTCCCCCATCCAAACAAATATTACATACATGAAACTCGTCATTTATCTTAAATTGACAGGAACTTGAACCACAAAGTTTAATGCTAAGTGTAAGTTTCAAGCTAAACCAACAAAACATGAGTTTATAGTGAGTTGAATCCAACTTGTTAACAAATTATCATTTATAGCATTAATCTCAAGCAGCCGAAACTACCAATCCTAGCTAGCTGGAAGAAAATCAAATGGCTGCCATGGTCCATCCAGTTCCCCCCAAAATTTCTGCTCGCCGGTAACTTGTTTTGGGGTCTACCCTTGGCCTTTTTCCAATAAAATTCGTACACGGTTGCTTCAAAATCGATGTACATCACACTTCCATGGCAAGAAAATGAACCCTGATCATATCTATAAAAGAAGAATATCCGCCAAAATCTATGCATAAAAACCTCTTAGCATACTTCATATCTTCATTCACTGCTTCATCTTGATTGTTTCAACAATGGCTCCTTCTTATTCTACCTACGTTTGCATATTCGTATCCATTTTATTCACGTTCATGCTGGAAAGTTCTCATGCAAATGCTGCTGTGGTAACTTCGACCGCCACACTCGTAACGGTCGACCAATCGGGGAAGGGATACTACGAGAAGATACAAGACGCCATCAATGCAGTGCCATCCGATAACAAAGAAGTCGTTTTCATAATGGTGAAGCCCGGCATCTATAAAGAAAAGATCATTGTGCCTGCAGACAAGCCCTTCATTACCATAAGTGGCTCCAAGGAAAATGGCACTATAATAACTTGGAATAATAGTGGGGAGATATTTGAATCTCCCACCTTCACTGTGTTGGCTTCAGATTTTGTTGGCCGATACCTAACAATTCAGGTATCTCATAACACAGAGATGATATTATATTTTTATTAGAATAGGCTGATTTTTCAACAGTTTAATAAGTTCCAAACTTAAAATATCTTTATTTACCTTTTGATAAATAGAATACATTTGGACCTGGAGCTAAAGCAGTTGCATTAAGGATATCCGGAGATAGGGCAGCCTTCTTCGGGTGCAGAATTTCATCTTATCAAGACACTTTGCTAGATGATACCGGAAGAAATTATTATAAAAGCTGTTGACTTCATTTTTGGAAACGCAGCTTCCCTTTTTGAGGTAATTAATTATAAATTCACCGATATATAGAGTATAATCTATTACTTGCAGGTCTATCTAGCTGAACCGTCAACTTACATATGGAATTTTCTTTTCAATATTATTGTTTCAGATGTGTCATTTGCATACACTCTCAGAAGGAGATGCAGCTATAACAGCCCAACGAAGGCGGTCTCCTCGGAGAACACAGGCTTCACTTTCTTGGGTTGCAACATAACCGGCGTAAAGAGTGCAGTACTAGGAAGGCCATGGGGTGCATATTCCAGGGTGTTTTTTTCCCTAACCTATATGTCTAATGTCATACTTCCCCAAGGGTGGGATGACTGGGGAGACTCACCCAAGGAAAGGTATAACAACAAAAATTGAGACAAAGACCAACTTGTTCATTTTCTTACATTATTAAGTGTAGAGTTTTGAGACTGAACTAATGGTTTTCTGGGTTCTTTGATGCTACAGCACGGTGTTCTACCGAGAATATAAGTGTTATGGACCTGGAGCCAATGCAGGTAAAAGGGTTGAATGGTCTGGAAAATTGATGGATAATGAGGCAGAGCTTCTCTTGACAAAGAAGATGATCGGTGGCAAGAGTTGGATCAGGTCTACACCAACCCGTTTCTAGAAAGCTTCGACTAAACGTGCTTGATCGTCATGAAGAACATTAATAAGACTAAATAGTTTGATGATGTTGTGACTTGTGATGCCAATGACTTTAATGTTCTTGCGCATCTGCATGTTAGAAATTTTTTAGTTTTTTTTTTGTAACCATATTAAAATTATTATTTTATTTATTTGTAATTACTTCAAAATAAATGATAGTGAATTTCCCTTGCATCACACGAATCGTGATGGTATAAATGTTTATGATAAATTATATGTTTAATACTTAAACTATCACTTTTATTTCATTTTAGTACATAAACTTTCATTTTTTTTTTGAAAAAAATTATACCTAATTATACTTTTTGTTTCATTCTAGTATCACTAGTTAAAAACTTAACATTTTTAGGGGTAAATTACAACATTCATCACTCAAGTACCTTCTTACTCTTATCTTGGTCATTGAAGTTTATTTTTTAATCACTTAACTTTCAAATTATTCATATTTTAATCATTCTAACTTATTTATTAATATTTTCTATGATGTAGAATCTTTTAATTACTATTTTATTAATATATGATTAAAATCAAAAGGAAGGGATTGGTTGGAGAGGCCGATAAGAGCGAGACTATGAGGGTGGGAATGGGATAAGTAGTTTGTGATTTAAGGTTTATGGTATGATTTCTGGGTTTAAGTATAATTTTAAATTTAATTTTTTTTATTACATATTAATAAAATAATAAAAAAATATCATGTCAAAAAAGTATTAATAAAATAAATTAAAGTGATTAAAACAAGAGTAATTTGAAAGTTTAGTTAAATTGGAAATTTTTAAATTTCAGTGACCAAAAAGGAGTGAGAATATAATTGAATGGTGAATAATGTAATTTACCTATAAAAGATGTCGCAGTTAAATTTTTAAATACGGTATTAAAATGAAATAAAAAAAATAAATTTTATGTATGATTTAAAAAATATATATATATATTAAAATAAAAATAAAAGTGATAATCTAGATATTAAATGTGTGGTTTACCCTAAATGTTAATATAGATGATTTAATAATTTCTTGAAAACTAATAAAAAATTAACTGACCACATTCCCATATGTAATGGGATGAGAGGGAGGTAGGATAATAGACTGCCCCCAACTCCAGGTTGAGAGCAACTTCCGTGGAAGATTTCCGGCAGTCAGAATTAGGGTTTCAAAAAATGGTCCGCGATCGTGATTTCGACCGCGATATAGCGATTTCGCCGACGTCCGAGTTACCCGCGACGGCTGCAATAGCGTCCGCGACGGCCGCAATCACGGTAAATCCGAAATAACCGAAAACGTGACCACGACCGCGATTTGAAACCCTGATCAAAATTATGAATTGGCTATCATGGGACTCGATCCCACGACCATAAGATTAAGGACTTTGCGCTCTATAAAAAGAATCACTATAACGGAAGGATAATTTTCGAAATTTTAATAAAAGTGCGCAATTGTTGGCACTAGGTCATGGCAGCGCAATTAAAGATCTTCTTGTCCGATGACCATTTTATATTGTTATTATAATCTAAGACTTAAAAAAAATCACTATAAAGGAAGGATAATTTTCGAAATTTTACCCTTAAAATCAGTAGACTAGAAGCAAAAGCCAAGCTGAAATGACGTGCCTCGTTTGTGTTTTCAACAGTTGTGAAACTGATTTTTTGCCTATAAAAAGAATAGAAAACAGATCTTCATCTTCAACAAAACAAGGAAAATTCTGTGTCAGTTTCAAAGTGTTGTTGAGAATATGGCTATGAAACAAGTTGCTTCCTCTGCTATCAAAATCATTTGAGTTCCGATCTATCATCTAATATTGATGAATTGAAATGGGACAGGTCCTTAATGGCAATCCCTACTATAGAAAGTGAGATATGTACAGTTTCGGTATCTGCTTGTGGGAGATATACTGCTGTGACATGCCGTATCCCGATCTCAGCTTCTCGGAAGTGATCGTCCGCCAGGTAAACTCATCAATCGCAGATGATGTTCTCGGTTTTGGAAAGTTTAAAACTAAAGATGATTCTATACCAATTGTACGTGAACTTTTAAAACTACAGAATCTAGGGCCGGAGAAACCTCGATGCTGTCCGAGTTCACTTGCAAACGTAATGAAGCGATGCTGGGATGCCAACACCGAAACGGCCGTAGATGGACGAAGTGGTGTCGATGTTGGAGGCCATTGATACATCGAAAGGCGGGGGAATGATCCCGCATGATCAGCCTCAGGGTTGTTTATGTTAACGGAAATACCGAGGCCCTTGATACCAGCTAGACGTTAGACCCCAAAGACGTGTTTTCAGGGTAGGGTTCCAATTGATTCAATATTGAATTGGAAAGATGCAAACAATGTCAGATCTGAAAATCCAAAGTTTGTGAAGCTTGTTGACTAAGAAATGCTCCACACTTTGCGCTAATGATATAGTATTTTAGTCTAGATTATGTGAATATACTTGACTCGAATCAACTCCGAATTCACTCTACCATGGAAACAACTTTTGATTTAGAAAACTCAAATCCATGCAACTAAATCATTGCATGTTATTATAATAAAATGAAAATGAGTTTCGCTTTGGAGGAACTGATGTACTAACTCAACAAAACAATACATTCTCAGTTCGGAACACTACAAATTCAGCCCAAAATGAATTAACTGAAGCACATGAAAGTGAACTGACTTATTTTAAATTCAAACTACAAAAAGGGTTTTAACCAGCTATCTTATAACTTGGATTGACCAAGTTTTCCAGGCCAGAAACCACTTGGATTGATTCTATAACATCACCAACCTTCAGGTCAGCCAAAAAGTCCTCATTTTCCGTCACATAGCCGAACACTGCATATCGACCGTCCAGTATATTAGCGTTGCTCGGTGTTAGTTCACTTTCTTTCAATAGCCAAAATACCTGGCTTGAAGCGGAATTATCCTCAAACTCCTGTTGGAAAATAAAGGACGGTCAGAGAAAAGAAACCTAATACCAACATGAGAGGAAGAAACCTCGTGTAATGAGTTCTCACATCTCGAGCCATTGCCATGGTTCCGAAAGCATTGAAGGGTAGCTTCGTTTGAGCCTTGTATAGACCAAGCTCCTGTCAGAAACACAAATTGAGAGCTCACTTTTAAAGCTTTGATTAATGAATGCATGGATTTGATATAACTTATATTTTGTCCAGCTTGGAACATTAATATGTGAGTAAGAAAACTGACCTCCAGCGTTGCTCCGTAGAAAGGTGTCTTTTCCCCATCAACCATGATTTCTAACGGTATTGTTCGAGTTTTCTCAGTACTAGGATCAATAAAGCCCTCTGCAGGACCTTCAGGATCGCCGGTTTGAACAACAAATCCATCCGCTGCAGCAAATTCAAGTAGGTTTAAATTTTGAGCATCTTTGTTGTTGATAATATGCACATAGGGGTGGCAACGGGCCAGGGCAGGGACAGTTTTGCATTACCCATTCCGTCCCCAACACTTGTGGGTACAGTTTTGAGAATCCCCATTATATGTTTCGGGGATTTTTTTCTCCCCATACCCATCTCTTACGGATCCTTGCAGGTGTCGGTTAATCCCCATCCCAAAAAATAAACAAATGTTTTTGAAATTAATGCAACACCTAAAACTTGTAAGATATATCAGATTATCTCAAATTGGTATCTATCTATAATATGAAAGTTTCAAACGTCAATATTCATCTAACACCCAATGTATATGTGCAATCATAAAAATTTTCGATCTCAACAAATCAATGTATATTAAATGAGAAAAGATCTAAACTTTAATTTTAGTTCCCTTGAGATGTAATAGTAGTAACACGTAATCTCACAGATATTTTTCGGGGATCTCCACGATTATTTTTGTAAAATACTGAAGATCCCTACGGTTATTTTTCGGGGATCCACATGGTTATTCACACGGGTACAGTTCGGTTATCCCCACGGTTCAAATATAGCAATCCTTGTCCCCATCCCCATTTGAGCTTCGGGGATAAAATTTCCCCATCCCCGTGGGTGAAGATTTCGGTTATTTCCCATCCCTTCGGTTCGGATCCCCAACCCAATATCTATCTAAAATATATAAATGAACCTCATTTCATTCTTGTTAATGTTATAGTGATAAAAACATCATAATACAATGACCTTTGGATACTTCGATCCACAAGGCAACAGGAAATTAGGAACAAATACAGTAGATTCCAATCTTACCTCTCTGAATTTCCATGCCATCATAGAAGCGTCGTTGCACCAAATCAACAAAGTTTCCAGCAGTTACCGGAGCGTTATATCCGTCCAGAACTATATGAAATACACACTCCTCTACGTTTGGATTGTCCTTGACTTTGACCTTCATATCCACAGCTGCTCTCCCCTTCAAAAGAGGCATACTACGATATTCTTCGGGTACTTCAAATGGGAAGCCATCCACCATATCCTCTTCAACACTGCAGAAATGCAATGCCCGAGGAAGATCTCAGCTGCAGTCAATGACAAGATACCTATGAGAATAATTTCTTTTAAGAGGCTTAAGTTTTTAAGTCCTTCCCTAATTTTTATGATGAAAATATCATACAGTTTTTAAGGCATTACAAGCCAACCCACTGCACTTCGGGAAAACCCTGAAAATCTTTTCACTGACTCAAGCTTTTCACTAGGTGCCAACAGCTGTGGTATGGTTGATACATCTTGCTTGTTATGGTGACTACACATGCTTGCAGTTGCAGACCTAAACCCATTTGGTACGATTCTTATCTATGTTACTCGGAATTGGGTGTGAGCGTTGGACGTGGGTGCCTTTCTGTGTATTTAAAGGTTATTTGGAGGGTTAAATTACATCCCTATATCCATGCTCGAAAATGCATCTAACAAGGGTGTCGAACATAGGGGCTTCAAGAAAAATGAAGAATATGACCAACATTGCTTCTTATACTACAGACACAAGTGCAGTGATTATATTTGCCTCCCACAATGAGCAAATGATACAACCCTACCACAACATGAGAGGTCAAACATGGTATTTTGGCGAACTACGTATTTGGTACATATTTTCAGTGTCCTTGATAAAATTTGATGCATTTAACCAACAGATTCAAAAAAATATTAGGCAACATTGGAGGGCTACACATAGAAACATAGAAGCGCAAATACAAATAAATGAAGTTCATTTTTAGTTAACTTGACGAGCTGGCAGAGATTAAATCAATATAAACTTTTTGATGTCCAATCTTCGCTTGAGGGTGTATAAACTAAGCAAAAAGAAAACCTAAAGCAATAAGTTTTAAAGATTTATAGAGGTACTCACTCTCCAACGTACAGAAGCAGCTCCTTTTGTTTAGGTGCCACTGCGTCTCTATTCCGATCCTCCACAATCTGTTGTAGCTCCTCCATCCCAACTTCGAGCTTGTCGAGCAATTCCATGCCATAGTCCTTCTTTGATTCAGCTAATCCCGATATAATTGAACTTTTCCCTTGCTTGAGTGATCGAGATGCTTGTCTCACATTCTAAATTTTATACAAAAGACAAGCACTGATTATCATGAATAAAACAACCGCGAAGCCTATACCAGAAGCATATGAAAAATATCGGATTTCAAGTTAGTTTTAAGAAAGGGAATCGTACTCTCTCGACAGAATCAAGCGCCTTGATGCCGGCTATCTTGAGACTCTCTGTTATATCTTCAAGTGGCTTTTGTACTTCTCTTATAGCTTTATTGTCAATTGGCAGTGAATATCTCAACAATGCTCTAGGGTCCTTTATCGGAGGCCCGGAGATTAAAACAGACAAATTGGACAATGCAGGATTTGCTGCATAAGCAATAGGAGACCAATCCAGTGATGGCATTCCAGTAATCAACCCAGCAGCCAAAGCAATTGAGATTGCACATTCCTTCAAGGAAAATGACCTCTCTTTCTCCTAAAAAACCCAAATTTCGTATCACCATGGTATCAAAAACCAATGAGTCAAATACATCAAATATATATATATATAATCAAAACAGTATCATCTACTTGCATATTATTTGATCAAATTCATATAGGATATAAATGATTGCTTTTCCCTAATGAGTCAAATACATCTAATGCTAAACCCCATTTATGTATTAGGGACATTGTTATTTCCGACGCTATTTATGGATAATGCATCTCTTTTATTTCAGAAAAATATGCTAAACCCCATGAACTTAGCATCATAAAAGCCATTAAATAACAAATAAGTTTAAAAAAAAGGAAAAAAGAAAAGACCCAACCTGCCCATTTTGAAGCTGACACTGAACATTCTTGTGGGAACTAGATTTGAGCAAAAACTGCCGATTCCACCAAGAACAACTCCTGTGAGTTCTTAGAAAGATTGGACCTTTGGTGGGTATTCTTGGATTATTCCAATTAGAGGCAGCTAAAGAAGAGTGTGTGCTGCAAGAGATGATGGTAGACATATTTACAATATGATGAGAAATAACGAATCTCGAGAGGAAATAAAAATGGAGATTGAAATCTTTGGAAGTTTTGAGGAGAAAATGATAAGGGTGTTGGGCTTGGACAGCAAATTGTAAATAGATATTGTTAGATAACTTTCGTACTGTTGGGATATGCTTCTATAATCATCCTCACGCTTTGGATAAGATTTCTTTCTTTTGAATTTTGGGTGTGTGTTTATTTCATAACTTTTGGGTATTTATCGAAAATCTGAATTTTTTATTTACGTATTAGATATTATTAGAAAAAAATATTATAAATTTGAAAGGTGTGGATCACGCCACGTGGGATGATTTATGATTTTCTGCAAAGAGTGTTAGAACCGTAAATTTTTTTAAAATAATATTTAACAGGTAATTAATTTTTGTTAAGGTAATATTTGTGTAAAAACGTCAACTTTCTTTCATAATTTTTTTTTTCAGCATTAAAATCTTTAAATATGCTTTTACAAATTATAAATTTCATATATTTTTAGAAAATTATCTTAACTTTTAAAATTAATTGTTTAAAAATATAAAAAATATTAAAATAAAATTTTAATTACAAATTATGGATCAAATGAATTATTATTTTTTAATTATTATTTTTAAACAACAGTTAATAATGTGTATTCATTTTTAATAAAATTAGAATTTAATAATTATTTTATATTTTTAAAATTAATATTAGAAAGAATATTTTAAATATATAAGTGATATTTTTAAGTTTATTTTCTTTCTTTTATTGAAGTTCGTTACAAGTTTAGAGAGTAACATAAAACAAATAAAAAACTTTAAATTTTCATGTATGTATTTATAATTTTCTTTTAGAAACATTTTACCGTAATTTTTCTTAATTAATTTGAATAATAGCATAATAAATTTTAACTTGAAACCCATTAATATTTTTAAACTCAATTAATTTTAAATCCAATAAAAGGCAATTTTCCCAAAAAAATCACCCTATACCCCTTTTCCCTGTCAAACACCGTTCAGACTATATTTCTCGATCTAACACCTTTTGCAGAAAGACGTGCCCATGCAGCGCGCTTTACGCTGATCTGGCGCCACGTGGGGTAAGGCGCGCCTACTGAAGTGCGTCTTATGTTGAGTTGGATACACGTTGCTAAAGCGCGGTGCGGGGGCCGTGCTTTTCCTTTAATTTTGACACGCGTCAGAAAGGCGCGCCCCCTGTAGCACGCCTTAGCTTTAATTACTCAACTACCCCGACCGTTCACACCCTATCCCATCCCTATAAATATCTCTATTCTCAATCACTTTCATCACACCAAATCCTCTCAACTTCTCTCAAATACTCTTATATTCTCTTATAACTGTTTAAGGTATATTTTATTATATTTAGTATTTTGTTAGTAATTTATTTAACTATTTAAATTTTTTAATATTTTATTTAATTATTTTTTTACAGATATAAAATGGAAGGCGGTCTACTTCGCTTGGATGGAAATCATATATCTCGACATTTTGCTGATACAGTAACATTTTAACGTTTTAATTTAATTTAAATTATTATTAATAATTTATTTATTTATTTAATGCATGATTATTAGTTTAAAAATTAATTTTTGTAATTATTTACATTTTAGGAGATGGACCGTATATTAGATCCTTTTTATTAGGAACCTTAAGTTAGCGATACCTACTCGTGTCTGGTCGTATTTAGCAGAGGCTGGATTCGGTCACATAGGTAGATATGAAGGTCAATGTAAGATAGAATCAGACCTTATTTCTGCCTTAGTGGAGCGGTGGAGGCCGGAGACCCACACATTTTATCTTCCGTGCGGAGAGTGCACGATTAAACTTGAGGATATTTCTATGCAACTGGGGCTTCCGGTGGATGAAGATGTGATATTAGGGATGGCGCACGGTTCCTGGACTACTTTGTACCGAAATTATCTAGGACGTGTCCCGGAAAATTTTAACGGTGGTCGGATATCGTTAAATTGGTTAGATGCTAATTTTCGGGAGTTGAGCGCAGACGCCTCTGATGATGAAGTTAAAATATATGCATGGACATGCATACTGCAGCTGATATGAGGGTTGCTGATACCAGACAAATCTCGCAACCAAGTTCACTATATGTGGTTGCAACATCTTGGCGACTTTCATCTGGCCGGTTCACTCAGTTGGGGCTCGGTAGTTTTGGCTTTCCTATATAGGGAGATGAGTTGAGCGACTGACTACAGGAAAAATGCTATCGGCGGATGTCTCCTTCTGCTGCAGTCTTGGGCATGGTATTGATTGCCCTTTTTATGTCCCATTGTGAAGAACCCATTCTGTTTCCGCTATTATTGAGGTAATTATAAAACTGATTTCGTATATTAATCATTTTATATATTGTATAATAATTTTTTCCTTGAATAGGTGGTCTACTGACAGGAAAAATCATCAGGAGCTACCTGATGATTTAGAAAAAAATTAGGGTGCTAATCGATCAGAAGGTTGGCACACAGGTATGCATTTTAATGTTTAAAAATTGATTTTAGATTATAGTTATATAATTAGATTATTATTTTGATAAAAATTATATATATTTGTTTTAGTTTGAATGGATGTCATATTCTAATGATAATACGAGGATGGCGATCCCACCTGAGTTGAGGGGCCCATTAGATGTTTGAATGGCGATGGTCCCTTTGATCTGTTATGCGATCGTCGAGTGGCACTCCACTGATCGCGTGCTCCATCAATTTGGTTGTTTTCAACCAATTCCTGAAGAACCTCACAATATGGACGAGTTGCATAGTACAGATCGACGCGGCAAGTCGGATACAGATTGGCTGGTGAAGCATCATGAGTGAGTCGTACTGTAGGAGGATCAACATTGACACCTTCCCCATAGAGAGGCAATTTATGATGACCTATTAACGGTTGGTGATGATTATTATGAGTTGTTCAACAGTAACGGGAAATCGGTTTTGCTTTCCGAGGATGCACGAGGGCGGACCTTTCAGCGACATCGACAGAGACATTCACCGTCATAGCACTATCATCCCCCGACTTGTGAACGGAGATCATGTGCTTCCGGTTCGTCCTCAGTTGCACCAGTAGGACCTTCACAATAGCCATCGTCTGCAGACTTACCTACCGCAGTCATATATGATGCCACCACCGCCTTTCCCTTACCAGATGTCGCCGCCACCGCCTTCACCTGGTTTTATGACCCCGCCTCCATCACCGTCACAGAGTTATATGACCCCTCATGGAGGATATTATAGGTCTATGTTTGTAGATCTGACTTGGGGTTCATATATTGGTTATTTGACGGTGCAGCCTCATCACCCATGGTCGCCGCACAAACACCTCATGTACAGTTTTCACACTCATCGATGTCTGGGTTTTATGAGTTTTCCTAGTCTTCGCAGGCCGGTGGAATAGTCAGTCATACATCTTCAAGGTCCTTATTCTATGGAGGTGTTACATCGTCATTAGCTCCTCATCAACAAAATGTATATGCTCATGACGACGACGACTATGATGATGCTGATGATGATGATGGTGATGACAGCGATGACTCATAACCAGTTATACGAAGAAATCCTCCTCGAAATCGATAGCCACCGCCCTGCGAAACACATTCGTACCACAGACATCGATAGATTTTGTTTTTTTTTAATTTGAATTTAGTTGTTTATTGGACTTTTTTATTGTATTTTTTTATTATTTATCATTAAATACTTACTTTATTTTGTTAATTTGGTTGGATTTTTTTAAAATTTATTTTGTTTATTTTGTTGGACTTTTTGTTAATTTATTTTGATAATTTTGTTTATTAACATTTAATGTCAGTTATTGTAATTTGGTTATTATTTACCATGTATTACACTTATTTTAAGTTTGTTGTATTTAGAATTATATTCAAATACCAAAATATTATTAGTTTGATAAAATTTAATAATTGTGTTCGATAACTTTATTAAGTTTGTCACTTATAACGCAAATTAAAGTAAATGCAAATTAAAGTACAAGAATTATTATTTGATAAACAAGTACATCAGTTCCTCATCAATTGTTACTTGATGACAACAGAAGTGGACATGTTCTCCTAGTGTGTTATGAGTTTCTACAATGCCCACATTTTTTGTCGTGTATATATGTTTCTTGAATATCCATATCACAATGAATTCGAGTGGATTTTGGACGACCACGCTCCCTCAATAAACTCGGATTTGGTACAATTGGAACCCATTCTAAAACTCATCAGGGTATTTGTCATTACCTATGGGGGGAACTCAAATTTGTATACCTTAAAAACTTCTAATAGTAGGTATACGGGATCCACAAAACGGTTATAGTCTTGATAGGTATGCGAGCAAGCTGCTATCACATGAGAGCATGGATACTTCAGAGCTTGAAAAAACACGCAGTCGCACGTTCTGTCCCGCAGATTTACTCTTAACGACACAACTTCAATCCCTTGAAGAGGTCGCGGCAATTCTGTGACACGAAACAATGCATGTGTTCTAGAGAAGCTTGTTACAGACATTTCATTTGATGCAGCAATTTTTTGTGTAGATCTGCAACTAATCTAGGGTGACAGACATGACCACCTTGCATCCAGGTTTGAGCTTGTCCCCCGAGCTTCGCAAAAAGCACCCCCAAACGAAAATATGTAGTTTTTACCAAAGCCGCTACAAGTAAGTAACGTGCACCCTTTAAGGTCGAATTGATTGCCTCAGGCAAGTTGGTCAGCATGTGTCCATATCGATATCCACCATCATATGTGTTTGTCCACATTTCTTTATTGATGAGGCTGATGTAATCGTATCCTTCCTCGTTCTTCGCTCGCAAATCTTAAAGCATTGATTCAAATGTTTGAGGAAGTAGTTCGTAACCTGATCAAAAAATGTAGAACTTAGTAACTTTGTTTCTTTGCAAAATTAAAATGATCGAAAGAAAACAAACTACATCAGTTTCACTTACCCATATGCACAAGTAATTGACGCTCATCATTCTTCTTGTATCTTCTATGGTAGTTCGCAGTAATGTGTCAGATATAATACCTATGTTAGACAAAA